GAATCTGTTATAGCATGTAGTAGGATCAATAGTTCTGAGATTTTCAGTTATTTGTGTTATTGTTTCGAGGTGAGGTAAATCAGGTTCTAATTGGCGATTTAGAATTGAAGAAATAAATAGTTGTTCGTCTTCGTCATCGAAGGTAGTTGTTGATGTAAGTTGGGTTACATTATTTGTTGGAGATATTGTGTATAGATCATAGGAAGCTAATGATGTTGAAAATGATTCTACAAGAGAAGTGTCTTCTACAGCGTTCACCGTATACCCGGCTCGCACAGTTCCGCAAGAGCTAGCAACACTCAGATTAGATATTAAAGGGCTGTTTTTGTCTGGCTCTTCCGAGTAATTTAATACAGTAGCTAATTTGATATACAACATATTATTATATATATATTTTACCCTATATTACTTTAAGTTATCTCTTAAATTAACTTGAATATTCTAATTATACAACCTGTAATCAATTTTATAGTTCAGTTATCCAGAAAACCTAATAGTTAACTAGTTACAATATCTTAAAGTGTGATTACTACTCTGACAATTACTTCTTTGACACAATTATTTCTCTAATAAATCATTTTTCTAATATAATTATTTTTTTAACAAAATCTTTCTTTGATACAATTCTTTTTCTAATACAATTATTTTTCTAACTTAATTAATTTCTTGAAAAAATAATATATTATAAAAATAATTAAAAAAATAATTGTATTAAAAAAAAAATTGTATTAAAAAAATAATTGTATTAGGAAAAAAATTTGTTTGAAAATGATTGTATCAGAGAAATAATTATCAGGAAAATAAATATTAAAAAAATAATTATATTAAAAAAAGAATTTGTTAAAAAAATAATTGTTAAGAGAATTAATATTAGAAAAATAATAAGAATTTTATAATTTTTGTTTTTTTTAAAAAAAAAAGAATATAATTTAAAATTTTATTTATATATATGGTCCGGTGCAAAAAAGTTCGTACCTCAATATAAAAGGTTATGATCATCATAATAATAAAAAAATATATACTGACCCAAATAAGCTAAAATTTATATGGCTAATAGAATATATTCAAACGTATTCGTTTCACCAATTTTTTCAATTTCTCTATGTCCAGTTTTTGTGAAAATTAAACACATATTCCGTTAACAGACAATGAAAAACGGATGGTAATTAATATTTACAGATACCTTTCTGGTGATATTTCTATAACCAAACAAAAGCAAAAATTTACATTATACAAGCAAGTTGCCCTAGTTTCTGGTATTTCTGAGAGTACAGTTGGTGCAGTGTTGTCTAACTGGAATAAGCGAAACGATGGTACCTTTTCATCCAACCAAAAAATCGGGCGGCCCAAATTAGAACCGAATGAAGATATTGTATTACTTTTGCGAATACATATTTTAAAAAGAAATAAAGATAGACAGAAACTTTCTACACCATATTTACTACAATTTCTCTCTGAAAATAGTTACTTACTTTCCAAATGGCAACTTCTTTTGAAACTAATGATACTAATACCAGCTCTTTAAATAATCACAAAATCTTTATCTCCCGCTGGTCCTTTCCTTATGCTCTACAAGGCCAATACAGATACAAAACCTGTACTCGTCGCAGAGTCTTTAACTACAAAGTTATGGACTCTGCAAAATGGGAAGATTTTTCTAACCAAGTTCATAACAATCTCCTATCAAATTCTACTCCCCTCTCTTCACATAC